TATTTTCTTGTTAAATAATAAGCCACCAGTCAATCAGCAGTTCGCAGGGATCCCAAGGCGTTCCCAGGCCTGCCGGGAGACAGAGTCTCTCCGGTGTCTCCTGGATCGTCCTCGGGGCCTCCTGCCGTTGGCACATGTCCGAAACACCTCACCGGGAAGGCCTCCAGGAGGCATCCTGACAAGGTGACTAAGCCACCTCATCTGTCTCCTCTAGACGTGGAGGAGCAGCGGCTTGACCAATTTTTAAACATTTTTATTACAAATTATTATCTTAAATTAGAATGTATTAATCCACTATTTAATCAAATACGAAAAAATAATGTAATGTAAAATAATGAACTAACCAACTACCGGTAATCACTTTTACTTTGCATTTTATTATTTACAATGAAATAACATTGAATTCAAAAGCATTATTTCTAAATATATTATTCCAGGGAAGAAATTTGCTAAAGTAATGCAACAAACAGGAGTTTGACAAATAATTCTTGTTCATTTAAAATTGTATTTATAAATGATGTAATTAGAATTTACTCACCTATTATTCCATAAAATACTATAACGTTGAATTACATGTAAAACTGTTGTATTTATCACATGATTCACAAAAACTCAATCGAATGAGATTAATCCAACATTAGACAAAATTAATAAAAACATTAAAAAATTTTTTAAATAAGAAAATGGCTAAATTCCCAACAACTTAAGGACTGCTGATAATGTAAATGCTCGGTGGGCTAAATTTAAGTGCCATACGTTGCCCGCCCTGCTCTACCGTTCAGTATACTCACGGCTGAGGCCAGCTGCTCATCAGTCATGTCTTCCACAAACATGGGCCTGACAGCAGGCTCCTCGGGCAGAGCTTCCGCTGAACCCATCATCAACAGAGTCATTCCCTAAACACACATTGCATTGAAATGTATCCTTGTCTCGCACTCAGCTCCTCGCATTCTCATTTTAAGCGCTGGAACACTCACATTTTTCAACTTGATGTTCCCCCACTCGTCATCCTGAAATGGAGCACAAGCGTGGATTCAGACTTAGCTGGGCAACCAAAATGAATTCACCACAGACTTAAGTACAAGTGGATGAAGCAACCCTGTCCCCGAGCTTGTGCAATCTGACACTTGACCAGAATCGGCTGGGAAAGTGGCACAAAAACTCTGGAGTTGGAACTAGCACATTTCAATCAAAAGATTAATTACCGTATTTTCCAGACTATAAGTCGCACCAACCATAAAATGCATAATAAAGAAGAAAAAAAACATAAGTCGCACTGGAGTATAAATCTCATTTTGGGGGAAATGTATTTGATAAAATCCAACCCCAAGAACAGACATGTCAATTTGAAAGGCAAATAAAAATAGAGAACAACAGGCTGAATAAGGGTATGATGACACATCAACAACAAACTGAGAAACGTGCCTGGTAAGCTCACGTAAAATATTAAGAGTTATTCAGATAGCAAGAGCATGCTAACAAGTTTGCCAAACCATCAGTGTCACTCCAAATCACGATATCCAATAAAATCTTCATCCTCTGTGTCACTTTTAAGGAACCCCACAGGTAGGAGATGCAGCGTTTCCTCTTCTACGTTGCTTACGCCAGAGTCATCGTCAGTTGTTTTTATCAGTTACCGCCAATGTGGAAAGTATCCACACAGGCCTGGAGCGCCCTCTTGCGGGTTAACGGGAGAATAACGTGAAATTACTATAATGTGTTCTCCAGAGTATAAATCACACCCTTGGCCAAATTATGGAGAAAAAAAAACAACTGCCATTTATAATCCGGAGAATACGGTATGCACATGTTTCTTCATCTTTTTGCTCTTTCCAAAAGATGAAGCAGCCTCAGCGAGTCTTCCAAGAACAAGAAGCACAACATACAACGCACTAAAGCTGGATTGACACTGACTAGTTAAAGTTCCAATTGTGATCTGAAATCAGTGCAAGCCTTGTCACTCTATAAACAAAAGCGCATTGCTTTACCTTGAGCGTGCCTCCCTTCACCATCACCTTCTGTCGGTCCGGCTGCACTCCTGTCAGAGCAAAAAGCTGAGCCTTGAACACCATGGGAGGCTCCTCGGTGTTCAGCTCCACAGCGTCAAACTTCTCTTTGCCCCATTTCACATTGACTGTGTGAGAAAGGTAAAGGGGTCTCGCATGAATGATGATGAAACACAAAATATGCAGTCGTAGTCCTCCGGCGGCGTATGATACAGCGGGAAAAAAAGTTAGGAATAGCTCGCCCCTGCCTGTGAAGGCAGTCGGCGAGTAGCTGGTGACATGCTATGGAAGTGTGTGACAGGTACTAGTTAGAATTGGGAAAAAAAAAAGACATCTGAAAACAGAGCCCTTTTCTGATTGCCACTTTGTCTCTTGAAAGTACACGACCATTGCCTAGAATAGTTTTTTCCCCCCAAAAAACAATATTTTTGAAAAAATGTCACGCTTTTCTAAAAAAAAAAAAATCGCAACATTTGCCCCCTCAACAAAGATTGAAAATACACTTTTCCTGCAACGTTTTATCCTATGCACCCCTGTTCCAAGAAAATATGCCTTCATTACATCAAAATTCATTTTCCCCCCCTCAAAATAGTTTTCTTGAAAATACACCACTTTTTTTACTCCCAAAACACCACCTTATTCTCTCTCTTTTCTCCACAAAAATACTTAGGTGCTTTCATGACTTAATGTCATTGTTTACAAAAAGTACTAGCACGCATATTTTTTTTGTCCATGTGCTAGCATGTTATATAACCTAGCTAATACCATTGAGAAAACTGAATATTTGTGTTGATTAAGTTTACTGGTGTCTCATGTTTATGCACCATGGGTTCATGCTTCAATCCCTGCAAGATGCATGGTGCTGATACTTTATGATCCACTATGATTTAAGTGCTTTGTCGCCATCTACACTTGATTACAAACACTTTTTACAAAACGCTGTCAATTATGCACAAAAATTCTGTGTTATCAGCAGCTTTGTACACTCCAAAAGACAACATTCAATGCCACAGTGATGATCATATTTACACAGAGGCTTAACATAGGGGCCTCATATGAAAACATGTCGCTCTTATTCATTAACTGAACAAAATTAAGTGTATGTGCATGTGAGAAAAAAAAAACTACCAGTGTCAAAAGTGAGTCTCCGTGAAAGATGGAGCACACATAGACTGAGAAGCGCTAGCCCTCCACTGGTGAATGCACCAGCAGGAAAAAAAGTGAGCAAGAGTCAGTACCTGTCTGGGAGGGCGGCAGGAGGGGCTAGCTGTTGACATGTTCGGCTAGTGTGTGACAGGTAGTGCTAGTAATGGTGTTGCTTAATTTGACACCTAAACGATCAATTCGCCCCATTTATGAAATCAATACACCTTGCAATTGTTAGTGTTTTAACCCAAAATGATGAGCTCGACGTGTGAACTCATGGCCCAGCTGGCTTTGTTAGCATCGCTACTCGGACTTGTGTACCGCCCAGTTTGAGTCAGTAACATTTCAATGCATGCTTTTTAGGATCTCACGAAACAGCACATCATCAAGAATAAGTTTCTCACAAATACGCTAAAAGTGGTGATAAATTGACACCTGCTTAGCCCAACCAGCTGAGTTAGCAGGAACAAGCTCGTTTCCCTAAGTAGCCAGCACGAGAGCTCGACACTTACTGTCAAACATCACACAAGTATGTGATTATTATTAGTTACACGCATCGTTTAACGTCGTGCCTTTTGAGTATTAGCTCAACGTTACCGCCCCAAAGTGTAGAAGACAATCTGTAGCCGTTAGCACGTTCACCCCACATGAAGCTAGCCGAGCTAACGTGCTAAATTAAATGAAGTGCTAAAGCCTGAGGACTTGTTTCAAGTTATTGGGTTTTATTTCACAATCCGTGCTCACAACAAGTACGTACCTGAAAACACCGGCATACTTGCCAACCTGCAAAGTCCCAAATTGTTGTTTTCGTCCTGTTTTCAGTCCGCCGGGATGCCAATGAGTTGACTTGGCTTCTAGTTGAGCGCAGTCTGAACTTCATTCAAGTAGAATGACGCTGCAACATGGGAAATTATCGATGAGCTCTGGCTTCCACTCGCCATGCCGGGGGACGCACTCAACATGTAAAGATACTTAGAACAATTTTAAATTACAAACTAAAGTCAACTCAAGCGACAAGAATATATGTTTTCAAAAACTATGCCGTTACTGGAAAAAAAACGTATTTTTTAAACTCCAAAATGTAGTAATTACCGACCTATTCGTTATTTTTTCTTGAAAATAGACCAAAACATGCTAGCGGTATTTCTTAAATTATTCAAACACACCGCCTTTTTCCCGACTTAGGCCATCTCGTCAAATACGCCATTTTGCTCTTGAAAAAAAACGTTACTTTACCTCAATTCATCTTGATATGTTCTCGAAAATACATGTTTCTTCTAAAACGTAAGCCAGCTTTCTCCTTGAAATTACTTTAAAAAAATATGCAACTCCACCCCGGCTCAAGTCCATAACCTTTTGTCTCAAACATACACCACTGTAGTTTCAACAAAACATGACATTTATAAGCTACTTTTTTTCTTGAAATCGCAGCCTTTTACAGCACTTTGAAAGTGCACTACCCCGTGAAAATATACACCAGCCCTTTCTTCGATAATTGCACACACACAACAGTTTACCCCCTCAAAAATGCGCTACTTTTTCTTTAATATACACCAACATAAAAAAGCTACTATTGCCATTTCCTTCTCAAAAAGTTTAATTTGGGGGGTAAAATATAATCTTTCTATCATTAAAATGATCTCCGCTCCCTCAACAATGCGAATATTTTTAAAAATAAATCAAAAGTTACAGTGAATGATGTATTATGTCGAGGCCAGATATAACTGTAGATAGGAAAATAGTCCTACAGGGCCTCTTCGTTAGGATGTCTGTTTGTGTTTTTTTAAGTATGCTGTATACACAAGAAAAGCAAATTATAAGGGTCATGCAATTGAAAATAGTCTCCAGTGAATGATAAAGATATGTTTATTGACATATCCATCAGTGCGGACTCCAATGCAAATAAACCATGCAACTTATTATCCAAGACCAGAGTTTATCAGAGTTCCAGTGCTTTTTTTCCTCTTTCAACTGAATGGGGGGGAAAAAATGATTTAAAAATATAGAAAAAAAGATTGCAGAGGTAATTCCATAATGCATATGTCTCTCATTATTTACATTGCAGATGGGGGTGGATTAACAGGATCTGGAATACTTTGCTTTTGACGAACATTTGTTTAAGTACATGATCCCGAAATTTGTCAAATGAGTTGATTATGGGGCGCTTTTTTTTAATTCTTTTTTTTTTTACATGCCAACTTCATTGCAACACATTCAAAAACAGGTGATGTAATATATACACTTTATATCAGCGGCGGGGAACCCTTTCAATAAATTTATGACATTCAAACAAATGTTTATTAGTATTATATATTACAAGCATTTGTTTGTTAAAATGTTTTGTGGCCGGATCAAATGTGTGTTCCCCACTCCTGCTCTACATACTCAAACCAAAAAAAGTGGCAATAAAACCACATATGGCAATTTAAATTAGTAAAAAAAAAAAAAAAAATTGAAAGATGGAAGCATTTGTCTGGTTTTGGAAGGAGGAGGAAGAAACAAAAAAGATATGGCAGTAAAATCAATATTCAACGGTTATTAAGGCACTAGGTGGGCCAAATGCTACACCTGTTTAGTCTTCTTTAAATAATGTACAATTCAAACAGTGCAGTTTTACATTTGTTAACTTAATGTTTTTCCTTTTTGAACCATTTATCTAGGAATCAATGTAAGGCAATACATTATAAAAAAAAATACAAGCAAGAAAAATATATATATATCACGAGACATTGTACCAAATAAACAGAAAAACCAAAAAAACAAAAATGATGGAAGTTTGAGGGACTCCTATACGCCATTACAATGGAAGTTTCCTCATGGCTTGGAGCAATAAAAATAATTAGAATAATAATAAAATAATGCATAGATTTAAAATGATCTTAATACATCTAATACTCGTGTCCCAATACTCATTTCCAAACCTGATAAACTGACTTGGAGAGTGATAAGAATTAAAAAAGGGAAAAAAAAAGGCCAGATAGGATTAGATGAAGGCATCAGTCATATTTATCCAACGGAAACAGAAGTCTGCTTGCATTTAAGGATGTTGTCAGGCAATTTTTTTTCCTTCTATTTTTCCAGCCCTGAAGATACAAGCCCTCATGGCACGTCTGGAACACCTGGATGACAGTACCTGAAAACTCAACACTGCCCCGGCAAAACCCCCTAAAAAGAAATCTCCATGTGTCACCTCCGCTTTTGGGCCGAGGACGCCTTTGTCTTGTAGCAACGTGGTGATGACGAGCTGCAGAGTAGATAGGGCGGCGGGTCCATAACGTCTTGTTTAATAATATCACCATCAACATTTTGTCCATGTTTGAAGATGAACAAGGAGGGGAAAGTACAGAATAGTCCAGGGAAAAACAAGTCCGACGGTTGAGACGGTTAGCTGCAAAGAAAGAGCAGAGACAGGTGTCCAGTAAAGGAAACAAAAAAAAAAAACAACCCTTGAACGTGGTTAGTAGCCCATACAAGAGCAACACCCTTCATCAGCTTTTCTGTCTCACTGTAAAAGGCGAATTTAAAAAACAAAAAACAAACAAACAAAAAAAAACATTTTATGTGCACCAGTTAGTCTCACTTAACACGCAGTTGATTTTACACCAAATTACCAAGTGACCCAATCCCTGATTTTTTGCTCTCAAGTGGCACAACTCAGATCTTTGCCACGGCAATGTAAAGAGATGACACGTGGAATCTGATATTGCCAGGTTGGCCTCTTCCAAATGTGAATATAAATAGGCCTTTACAAGATGAATTTCTTGTTCCACAAATAAAACGGACGTGATAGTTTTTCCGCACTTGCTAAATCGTCATTTACATGCAAGTTTGTTGACATACGTCAGCAACATTCAGTCGCGCCGCTTCGTTTCCTCTAAAATCAATGAACTGGTATTAATGTCGCATTTGTGTGATGTCGCAACATAAAGTCCCTCTAAGTCCGTTTCCTGTGAGCTTGCATGCCTTATTTCAACAATGCAAATATAAAAGTCAGCGCAAATTGAAGCAGCGACTCTTAACTGTCCATAGTTATCATTGTGATTTATTGTTGTTATGCGCCGTTTGATTGGCTGGCGGACAGTTCCGGGTGAAGTCGGGATAAATTCCAGCTGACCCCCGAAAGAAAAAAAAAAAAAAATGTTACAGGCATTAAATCAGGATCGGACACTTGGACCTCCAGTGTAAATTCAGCCTTGGTGTCAAGAGCAGAAGAATCCCAGTTGTGAGCCCAAGGCGGCAACCAACCGACCAACAAAGCGAGCACCAAATGTCTCGTGTTGGAAACACCCAGTTAATAATAATAATAATAATAATAATAATAATAATAATAATAATAATAATAAATAGACTAAAAAAATCACACACACACATCCGCACTTTCGCGAAGCATCTCCTGTCAACAAGTGCTGGATGTTGCGTCTGCCGCATGGAGGTTGGACTGCGCTCGGCTACAACACAGGAGGAGACAGACAGCAAGCAGATCACGTGACTTGACTCCAGCACTTCATCGTAGCCCAACGCGAAGAGGAAAAGACACAGCGGTTGCACACACTCGCTTCATCACACATTCAATGCGTGGGTAGGAACAAACAACAGCAGGTTTGAAAGGATAGCCCATTCAAATAACCCCCAAAACAAAAAGCACAGGAAGTTTGAGTATTTAAACTAGAGAGCTGTTTGCAAGTATCAATGTTCCAGAGTCAAAACTGAAATAAAAGGCTAAAAAGGTACACTAGAAATCTGTATTTTTACAAGTTGTGACATTGACAAAATGCGCAACCTACACGCCAGTGAATACCGTGATTCGTCAAATTATGGCCAAAATAAATGCCACCGCCTTAAACAGACAACGCTTTTAGCCCGTAAAAAAAAAAAAAAAAAAAAAAAAAAAACAACTCGGGTGCCAGCAAGGAGCTGTAATATCCTTTACGATGATCAATACCAAGTGTTGCGGTACCACAGTATTTCCTTAAAGCTGAGGTCAATGGTGGAATTTAAGGAGAGCGTGCAAAAAAATTTAACCCGAAAAGGATTATTTGTGGGTGGAAAATGATAACATCCAATATTGTTTATTATCATGACAAAAATGCCACAGGCACCACCATGTGTGGCAGGAGCTATCATAGTATGTGTGGCATCTGGAAAATTGACATATAAGCTGGAATATAAAGAGAAAATACAGCGTCCCTTAACAGACACTACAGTTGAGGAAACAAACTCACATGGTCACTGTGGTTACTGAAATAATAAACATTTGTGGGAGGTTTGAAAGAATTTACCAAAATGTGGTTGCTAAAAAGTGATATTTTGAAGTTTTCTTACAGCACTTTTTTTTCTAACTTGCTCATACAAACTATGAAGAAATAAAGACAGTTTATTTCATTTGGGAGCCCGCTGGTGGACATGAACATGTTCGGGGTTCAGAGGACTAATCGAAACAAAACCGCTCAACCGTTACCTCAGTTTTGTCGAACTGCTTTTAGGGTTTTTGCGGAAGGACTGGTTGGGTCCAGGCCGAGTGGACATGGAGCGAGGCGAAGCTCTGGAAAACGTGGTCGGTGGGGTTTTAGGGATTTTCTTCACAAGATGGCCGATCCACTTCTTCTGCTCATCTTGGGTCAGCGCCAACAAGAGCATGTCCCGGGCTGAGGTCACGTCGTAGTTTACTGCAAAACCCAAAAAGAGTTGCGTTTACCCTGGAACCAACCATCGAATGTTTGCGATACACCCGCGACTTTACCTTTGCAAGGGGCGATGACATCCTCCTTCTTGTCCAGGTGGTCCTTGTGGCACTTGACGTGGCATCGACGGCACTCGAGCGCCGGCGGCGGCTTGAAGACGTGCCACAGCGGCTTGGAACACGCCTCGCAGTTAGAGGGGAAGTGGTACAGGGTGGGGATGAACTCATGGCCCTTGTGTGGCAGGCAGTTCCTGTCACCCTGAGGGACCGTCTCCATGTCGGCCTCTTTCCGGCACTCGCCCTCGTTGGCGTACAGAATCTGAAAGCAGATAAGAGTCACATTGAAAGGAAGATGATAATACATCCTAAAATAAAGTCCAAAGTCCCATAAAGGGATCTTAAGGTATAATTTCTCATCTCATTTTCACATGTTCAAAAATTAAACCATTCCTTCAATAAAAATAAATATATAATAATAAATGACTAATTGAGTAACACTAATGATCCAATATATCACAACATTCACAATTCATGCATTTTATACATCAACAAATATTTATATAATATTCCATCGACATACTCGCGTTGCCATACACAAACGGAAAGTGGCCAATCGTCACGTTAAGGCATACGTCTGTGCTCTGATTTTTCAAATGACAAGAGGGCCAAGGTCATTTTCAGTGAGTGTATGAGCTGGGAAAAAAAGTTCAGATGTATATGAAAAATGGTTGTATAAATAATTCTTTTTTTTTCATTATTATTATTTTAGAGATTGTAATTACTTCACAAAATGATCTTACGTATTTGTGAAAAGTATATACAGGGTGTCCCTTAAGTCTCCATACATTGGAAAAATAAACGTCTCTTGGCATATACCATTTTTATTTATATAATATGCTTTGTATGGATGATTGCATTCTCTGGGTGATCTGAAATATCAAGAAATAAATGTTAGAACCGTATATGTGCGGAATGTATTATTTTTTCTATGTATGGAGACTTATGGGACACCTTGCAAAAATCTATTATTTTAATGATATTTTTAGTTCAATATTTGCAAGAAATAAATTAATAACATTACTTAATGCAAGAAAATAAGTACATTTTAACTAGCCAATATTAGGGAAAAACAAATTCAAGAACAGTCGATCACAAACGGCCCATGGGTCAGACTGTGTCCACCCCTAAAACGGGGAACCTGATCAATGATAACACACAATGAATATGATATTAAACAAGGAAAATATAATTATATCAGAAAACAATATATTTTAAAATGTTAAAAAATATATAAATACAAGAACTGAATATGGTCTCAATTCAAATTGATTTTGCAAAATCAGGAATAATTAAACATCACCTCATTGACAAAAATAACCATGCAAATTGATTAAAAAGAAAAAAAAAAGACTGAGTCTCTCTCTCAAAAAAAGAAAAAAAGGCGCGGGGGGTTAAAGGAAAGGGCTCCTCTCACTTGGAATATTCTTGGAATCTCTTCAGTCTCGGCCCGGTACACGTCTCCTTGTGTCACTGGTCTCACGTGAAAAAGTTTGCTGCAGGGAGATAGCCAACTATCAGAACTCCAGACCACTGTTAACATTCTACATATGTTTGGTTACTCTCAAAGTGACTCACTCGATATCTAGTACCATGGAAGGGTTGGACTGCTCCTTATCTTGCTCATCATTGTAAAATAAAATCTTCTTGCTGCTCACCACAACATACTGCAACACAACAGTGACAAGGCAATGAGACGGCCCAAGACGGGGAACAACTCCTTTGAGGCGGTGTGAGTGCAAATACCTGCTTCTTCCATCCGTATCGCTTGATATTTGTGCGGTTAGGAATAGACAGCCATCCTTCCAGTCTGGATTCTGTAAAAGGAGCGTAGATGGGAGAAAGTTACACGCCAAACGTACGGATTAAGAGGCGGCGTTGAAGCGGGCCATGCAAAACTTAAGTTGGGTGGAAGAAACAAAAAAAAGGTTAATTAAATGCCAGCTTTAGCTTTTCCCCATTTGAGGCGGTAACAAGAGAGGAGTTAAGATACCCCATGCAAGAGAAGACAATCGATACATTACGAAATACAGCATGTCGCGAAAAACAAAAGCTGCAGTGGCTACTTTTGTTGTCATCAGTACACTATTTCCCTTGACTTGCTGGATTGCTCAGGCTGTGAACTGGAAACATAAATGAGCATAAGACAGGGCATGCAGCTGAAAAGTCACAAACTGCAAAGGAAGAGTAAACCAACAGGACTGAGGCTGGATTTACGCTGCATGGTTTAAGCTACACAAATAAGATGGTTTGCTCTAAAACAGGGGTAGGGAACTCCAGTTCCTCGAGAGCCATAAAACTATACCAAAAGAACAAATATGGTCCAACTATGGACCATTAGATGTGTGTTCCTCATTAAATAAGAAAAAAAATTGCAACCAGTGGACAATGAAGTGGATGTTCGCCTCATTTAAATCAATGTGGGGAAAAAGAGTCAACTCAGGTCAGCGAAATGCTGTGCAACATTTAACATTTTCTCATTTAAGGAGTGTTGTCTACTTCCATGTCTTCACTATATTTGTGGAAGTGCTCATGTGCAATTGGGTGTTTGCACAAATAGGTTGATGCACATGAGTGGTTGTATGTCACTAGAAACGTACACAGAAATAGTTTAAAGAAAAAAAACATCGGATACCAGTGCCATTAACGATAAGTGGGAATTGGGCAGGTGGACCTGCACTGTAAATCCATCCTAAATTGTGAGGTGTATTATGTGTGGGGGAATTCTTCCAGGCCTAGTAACATTTCTGTTTCAGCATGCCAATGAAAACCAAAGTGTTAAGCGCTTGAGTAAAACAGTGCTTTTGATTTTACAAATTAAATAAAAAAACAAACCAAAAAGCCCTTGAAGGCTCATGAGCTAGCGTGGTGGATTTGAAAATCTGGGTGATCATCACATATTGGAACCATCCCACTTACTTTAAAAGGGGAAGTCAAACGCCAATTTTTGTTGACAGTAATATGTTCCATACGCCTCCGCAAGTGTAACACGGCATTCTGGTGAATATTGCTTTTGTGGAATATCAGTTAAGCAGTCAAATCCACCCGTTTTCGTCTCTCAGGGGGCGGCCATTTTGTTGCTTCCGTTGACTGAAAATTACATCACAGTTGTTCAGGTCTCAGGTAACAGCCAATCACGGCTCACCTCTTTTCTGAAGCTGAGGCACGATTGCTCGTTACCTCTGCCCTGAGCAACTGTGATGTCATTTTCAGTTGACAGCAACTGCCAAAATGGCCGCCCCCTGAGATGGACCAAAAGGGCTGGATTTTACTGCTTAACTCGTATCCCACAAATGCAATATTCATCAGAATGTGGTGTTTACAGCAGTGGAGGTGCACAAAACAGAAAATCGTCAAGAAAATTTTGGGGTTTACTTCCCCTGAAAGCCTAGTCAGAAACATTTTTCTCGTCATTCAGGATTCAATTCAAAGGTTTCTAAAGAGCACTAAAAAGGAAACCAACGAAAGAGCACCACAACAGAACAGCAGCTGCAGCACGTACAGGCCAGGCAAGAGGGGGAGCTCGTCCGCTCGGTTACTCACAGAGGGAAAGGAATAGAAGTTACAAAGAGAGGAAGAGCGCGGACTAGACGTGAAGGGGAAATGGAGAGAGAGGGATTTAACCACAGGCATCATTTCAAGGAAAACTGAGACGGAATCTGTCGTCGCTCATTACACTGGTGGAAAAAAACACCATACTGGAAAAGTAAACACGTAGAGAACCTGTCATTTCTTTTTATCCAATCTAAGCCTACTGCTTGGTAAACAGATATTTTCGTTTACACACAACATGACTAATACATAGTTGAATGCAGACGAAGTTCACACGTGATTTCAGTAAATTGAGACCCAAATTCAATGAGCATCTAGAAGATAAACTATGAGGGTCATTCAATAAATAAGGTGAATTTTTCAGTATAACGACTTCTAATACAAATAGAAGCTTACTTTTTTTTCAACATAGTCTCCCAGCACTGTCGCACACTTTTCCTATCTGTGCACAAGCTTCCATATTCCCTCAGTGTAAAAATCCTTTGACTGATGCCTCAGCCAGTCGCTCACAACACTTTTGACGTCATCGTCACTTTCAAACTTCGTGCCAAATACTGTGAAATGCTGAATCAAGTCAAGAAAGACAAAGAACAAACGCAGGAGCCATCAGTCAGAAGGAGTCATCTTGCATCATGACAACGCAAGACCTTGCACAGCAGCCCAAACGGTGCAGACCATCAACGAGCTGGGCTGGGAACTGCTCAGTCATCTCCTTTACAGGCCAGACCTTGCCCCGTTCAGACTTTCACCGGTTTTGTCCCTTAAAAGCGTTCATGAGATGAGAGGCACCAAGTTTGAAAGTGACGATGAAATCAAGTGTTGTGAGCGACTGGCTGAGACATCAGTCCAAAGATTTTTACTTTGAGGGAATGGGGAAGCTTGTGCACAGATGGGAAAAGTGTGTGACAGTACTGGGAGACCACGGTGAGAGGAAAAAACAAAAACAAAAAAGGAAGCTTCAATCTGTATTAGAAGTCCTTATACCAAAAAATTTCACCATAAGGTGAATTTTTTGAATGACCCTTGTACAAACTTTAGCTTTTCCTTTGGCTTTTTCGTGTGGTAGACCAGCGTGCTACTTCATATTCATTTTTTTAAATTCACATTAGGAAATGATTTTGTTCAGCATAAAACGGAACATACTATGGGCCATAAGAATTTATACAAGTATGCAATGGGAAAAACGAAAACCGATAAAGTGAACCTAACCTTTGATGAATTCCTGTTTTAGTTCTAGCCGTTGTTCACCGTTTTCCTCTTTCATTTATCACAGCTGATAAACTTGTGAAATGATAATGGGTTCAGAAATCCAAAGAAAAAGCAAAATATTGATTTTGCCTTGTCTTGTATAATTTTTCTTTGTTTTTTGGGATTGCTGATTGGGGTTTGGCCTTGGCCTTTGAAATGTTTTGTCAAATTCAAAGATCCACACTTCCCACAAAAACAAACAAACAGACAGCAATGGAGTTTTGTACTTGGCTTCAGTGCTTCACAGTAGAGCCTTCCAGCTGGCTTACCCGCACGCGTACTTACCCACAATGTTGCTGTCCGTATCGTCCGTCAGCAAGCTTGTGATGCTGGAGTTGTCCATGCGCTGCTGCAGGTCGTTCAGCTTCTCGCGCAGCTGCTCGATGTCGCTCTCCTTGCTGTCCAGCTGCATCTGGAGCTCGTTGCGGTACGTGCACTCCTCGGCCAGTTGCTGCGGGGGAGGAGAGTGACGGTGCACTTTAATAATATCATTTCCTGTCTTCAAGAAAATAATACAATGAAATTGTGAACTGACTGCCTGCATCTCACTCAGCTCCTTCTGATACTTGATGGCCATGTGGTTGAATTTCTCCTTCTCCTGGTTGAGCTCCAGCTGCAGCTTGCGGTTCTCCTTCTCCTTCTTACGCAGGTCGGCAGTGCTGCCCTTCTTTTTCTGGTCTAGCTTCATGTCCTTGCGGTTCATGATCTCTGCCAGCTTGTTCACCGCCTGATGGATTATGAGACAGGCAAACAGGTTGGGAATGTCCAAATAATTGTGTTAACATCACGGAGAGGCACACACGCGCGCACACACTGACATTTTGAGCCTTTTCCCCATCCTCCTGATCAAAGGCCCAATTTCAGAAATTATACTCAGCGACCGATGTGTGTCTTGAGTGATTTTTTTCCTCCTCTCCCTAATCTATTTGGTAAACAATCCAGGCCAACAATTGGGAATGTTAAACCTACTCGATATTTCTGATCGCAAATCCTTACGTGTGTTCGGTCAACGCTGAATTTGGCCGATCTGTGGTTTTGGGAGGGACATGAATGTCCGAATCACAAATAGAGGGGCAACTGGTTGAGTGTTTGGATAGAGGGTTCCACAAGTCTTTCACCACAGTCTGAATGAAACGTCATGGCTCTTGTTTCATGTGCATCCCCCCCCCCCCCCTTCAAAAAAAATAGATGCATCCTTACCTGCGTCTTCAGCGTACGCTCTGTGTGGAGGACCTTCTCATAGTTGGCCTTGATTGCATTTGTAATCTCCTCCTTCTGAGTGGCATACTCTGAAAGCATAGCGGACCGCACATGTATGTTTATTTGAAATTCTCAAGAGGCCAGGAGCATTGTCAATCTGCATACATTGAGTAACAACACATCAAAGTTTGAAAACCGGCAAAATGACAGCTCTTATAGGGTCCACATTGCTCAACTTTAGTCCTCTCATTCACAATATTAACACACTAGAAGTTGAGTTATGTTCTTATTTTGGATACTTTGTACAAAACAGTAACGAAACTACCTAAAAATCACCTTATCAGTCATGACTGATTGTGTGTCAAATAAGAAATAACAAACGTGTCATTTTAAAGACCAGATTGAAGGATTTTGTGTCATTTTTAAATGGATACTATGCAAGTCTATTCCATTTTCAGCATTATAAAGTTAGTCGTTTATCTCTAAAAGAATTTGATAACTTCATTATATTTCATGTACAATTAACACCTTTAAAGCACATTCTTCCACTTGTTCTCGACTGAAAATGATATCACGTGACAACCAATCACGGCTCTTGTGATGTTTGCAAACTGAGCGACAAAAAGCTAATTTAAAGGGGACAAAATCTGAAGAAATGATAGAAAATTGTTGTTTCAATTACTTGTATGCTGATAGTTGGGTCTTTTGTGAGCCTGCCTAACCATGAAATGTGAAATTAAACAACCATGTAAATCTTGCGCATATGGTTAAATGAGCCAGTGGCGGCATCACACACTAGCCATTCCATCTAAAGGTCTAAAAGTCTAATTTGTCGCTAATTTGGCACAGAACCTCAATTCAAAATGCCTTTGATTTCAACCAATGTCAAAAGTGAATTCTACGCATGTTAGAATTCACAATCCTTTGTGTATTTTGACCCAAGAATATCGGAGAGATTTAATCATACACAAGGATGGGATCAGTTTTAAATTATAGAAATGCATAATGTCTCCTTTAAGACATTTTAAAGAATCGATAAAACCCTGTATGTGATAGGAAAAAAAATAAAAATAAGTACCTTCCTCCTGAGTGCTGAGCTTCTCGCTCAACTCTGCCTTCTCTTTGGCGAGACCCTCCACATCTTTGGTCAGAGTTTTACAGGACTCCTCAAGCTGTAGAGAAACAACATCATCCATGCTGCATCCTACAAAACACAAGGTAAACTAATATTGTGTTTTGCTTACTCGTGCAATCGTGGCCTCCTTATCGACGAGTTCCTGCTTGTGTCTCGTGACGGTCTTTTTGCTTTCTTGGCTGAGCTCAAAGTACTGCTCCTCCTGCAGCGCTCGCGCCAGCTGCTCCGACTCCGCCTTTGTCACTGTCAGATCCAACTGGGCAGACAGGGACTCCCTTTGTGTGGAGGGAAGTAAAGCAATTGAACCTTTTAATGAGATTTTTACATGTGACCGCAGGCCGTGGCGATATGTGACGCACGCTCACTTACCTTTCACTGCACAGCTCCTGCACCTTTTTATGAGCTTCTTGGACCTGCCGGTTCCTTTCTTCTATTTCCTCCTTGAGCTCTTTGACCTGAGTTTTGTAAAGTGTCTGCAGGGGAAGGGCAGAATATCAGTCTGGGGTACTCCCCCCACTCCCACAATCTATGTACCAGGAGCTCAGAGTGATCTGATACTCACAGAAAAATACTGTTCGGCCTCGAGCTGGTCCTGAAGTTCCCTCATCTGTCCTTCGTTGCCTCTGTATTGCCTGGTTAACACAACCAAAGCATTTTTTAATCAGTGGTCCCGCATCAGGGCCAATTTGTGAGCTCCATGAGCAAAATACGGCTGTCATCAACAGGCAGCTAAGGGTTTAGCAATCAAGTAATCGCACTCAGATTAAAGTCTAATCCCAGTGAACACTGTTGCAGATCAGCTTTGGCGCAGTTGCACTATAAGCCGAAATAATAGCACTTATTTGGGAATGGCAGCTTGACTTGCAAAGCGCATTATGGTGAGGGCAGCAAATGAGAAAATGACAAACTACAACACGGTCCATTGCGGCAGGATGGTGGTTTGCACATTTGCCTTACGGTGCTTGGGTTCGAATCTCAGCTGTGACCCTTTTACGTGGAGTTCTCCTCATGATTGCCTGGGTTTGAATGTCGGGTGTGAATGCTTGTCTGTCTGTATGTGCAATATGAGTGGCTGATGCCCGTCACTCAATCAAGTAGGACAGGCTCAAAATAATCTAATGACAACACGAGCTATAGAAAATGGATGGCCATTATTATCTCCACCACTAACTTTATTCTACCATGTTGTTTCAGGGGGACTCACTTTGTCAGCTGCGCAAGTTGAAACTCCAAAGAGCGTTTACTCTCCAGCGCCGTGTTGATCTCCTGCTTGAGCTGCTTCTCAGAACAGCGCAGCCGATCTACCTCCTGTAGCCGGCTCTTCAGCTCATTCTGCGCCAGCACGCGCTTGCTCGACTCCTGTTCCGCCTGTATCCGTAGATTCTTCACCTGAACCACCAGGAAGGCAGGTGAATGTTTCAAAAAAGGATGTAACTAATTGCATCACTCTGGAAAGCGTTCACTCACATCATCCTCTAGCCTTTCCTTCTGCTTCATCAGCTGCTCCATTTTCTGCACCGACTGTTTGAGGTCAAACTCCAGCATGGAGCACTGCTTCTCCACCTCCACCACCCGGCTCTCTGCTCGCATCCTCGCCCCGTTCTCCTCCGACATCTTCACCTGAACAGCTGGGGTGGAAGCACATTTACACCATTAGAAATACGGACAGAGAAGCGTGTTATACACACTGCAAAAATCCGGACTAATTTGAGTCATTTTTTTCTCTCATTTGCAATCAAATTTTGCAAAGGCTTGACGATTGGAGTTCTCTGTAAGACTATCCTTAGCAATTATCTGGTGTTATGGGGTGTGTGAGGAGGCATTTTTCTTTCCCAATACGCAGATAAAGCAGTCAAGGTTGACAATTTTAAATGCTAAATCACCTCAACATTTACACAAATCCACGTGTGTGTGTGTGTGTGTGTGTGTGTGTGTGTGTGTGTGTGTGTGTGTGTGTGTGTGTGTGTGTGTGTGTGTGCGCAACAGTACACCAAGTTGGGCTGACCCACTGAGTATGTGATGGTGTCCTGAAACAATTATAAAGCAACCGAAAGCTTCTCTTCTTAATGGACAAAATAAACTGGTCTAACACGTTTTACAATTAATTCACCACAATAAAAATGACAAGGACACTTTGCAAACACCAAACAATTCCCAAACAAGCTGACACCTAGCCGAGCTTCTATTCCTGCCTCTACTCGTCTTTGTTGTTGATTATCCCATCTACACCACACATTATCACAGCAGTAAGCACACACAGGCTAAGATGTTAATTCAGTATGTGAGGTAGCTGATAGAGACTACGAGGCACTGTGACATACCGTTCATAGCGGCCGATTTGGCCTCCTCAATGGACTCATATTTGTCAGTCAGTTGTGCACGTGTCACCCGGTGTTCAGTCTGCTCCTGCTCCAGTCGCTGTTGCAGGGTCTTCAGTTTGTAGTTCAGGTCTATCTCTAGGTTGTTCTTATCCTGAGTGGTTTAGGGACACAGGACAATCAACTCTTAAGAACTTCGGGACTGAACTTCAAAACCAAAGCCATCGTTGCTTCCGATTTTAGCTACTGCAGTAATGACTGAGTGGTCGAGCTTACATTATGTGTAGGTGGGGATATCTTTGACAATTAATGTTTCAGTAGAAATGATCATTCGCCAATGTGGTGTAGTAGTGTCCTAAATACTCATCTTAGACAAGAAAAAAAAATCCTCACTTAAAAATGAACAGTAATTAGAGTTGCCTCAATTTAATTGCACTACTATTTACGTAGGAACAGAGTTAGATAAAGACTTGACTGTTGAGTCCATTTCAACTTCACTGATAACCAAAGCAGCAGCATCTACCTAGTTATGTTAAATGTCTATTGGATGAATTAAAGTGTGGAGTCTGAGCATGTCCTAAAACAGGTTCATCGTGCATCAACGTATGTGTTTCTTGCAATTAATCCTTATTAGCCTGTATTATTTTGTTAAAAAGAAGACCTCATTATGTTGTGGTAGTGTACCTTCTCCAAGTTATTGCTTCTCTCCTGGGCCTGTTTGCGCTCCGTCTCCACTTTGGAGACAGTGAGCTTCAAGTTTTTGTTGTCCTCCTGCAACCCCATCATCCTCGCTAGGAGGGTAACAAAATGAAACAAAATATTAAGTTACCGTAAGGAAGCATGTTTGCAATTGCAATTGGCGGCTTCAGCAGGTTACCCTGCAGCTCACGAATCTCCTCCGAGTCTTGGCTGTAGTTCCTCCTCTCCGAGTCCAAGGTGCTCTGGAGGAGCAGGAGTTCCTTCTCCAACTGGGCCTTCTCGCCGTCGGCGGCGCGGCTCCTCTCCTGCAGCTCACGGTTCAAGCTTTCCAGCTGGCTCATGGACTTGGCCACCTCTGTGTGATTCTTCCGCAGCCTCGCCGCCGTGTCCGACTCGGCGCGCAGGAGGTCATTAGCCTCCTCCAGCTAGGACCAAAAGGAACAACAAAATTCAATGGTTTTTTTTTTTTTTTTTTAAATTGTTTGCATACACATGTACTCCATTTCCGCAAAGAGCAATATGCGCATTTAGTTACACAGCTACAGATGGGAGGACACTATATTTTGTGCAAACAAACTTTTGGATATTAAACACTTCTGGTACATGTATAGTTATACTGGATTTTCCTTTTTTTTTTTTTTTTTTTTATCTTGGGAAAATGCAGCAAAGCGACAAGAAACGAAGAACGAGAGGAAAAAATGTCACCTAGCACCCCAAAACATAACCATGGATGCACACAACATTGCGCAGCGATCACATCTACCAGAGCGCCATTTCCACATACAGTACTGTAAAATAATCTTCAATTCTACACACGGAACTCACAACCTAAGTAGAGATAAGATCGGTCCGAAAAAATCGAGCCCGACCCGAACCGGCCTGAGCGTATTTAAGCCCGACCCGGCCCGAGCCCGATCACTTAGCTTGATTTGCAGGCCCGAGCCCGAAGCAAACCCGACATTTCATATTTTATTTGTGAGGACTCGGGAGGAGGAAGGGTGATTTCTGATAACAAAGCCTGCCTTTTGTAATGAAATCTAAGTTAAACAAGACTGTATGAACATTTACATCTTTTATATTTCTGTTTATGAAGAGGTTACATTAACTGACAATTTTCTATCATTTGACGGATTTTTTTTAAGAGTGGACGGGGAAAATTTAAGGCCGTCCGTCATTTTGACGGGTTGAAAAATGGGCTGTAAATCACCGCAGCAGTACGTCCTTACGAAATAAGAGAGAGAGGCAGAGAGACAAAAAAGAATAATGATGGGTGGATCATAGACAGAGACAGGAAGGAGTTCTTTGAATTGTCATTGCAAGAGTTTAGTACACAACGTGATGTGATGAGGCGACTTCTGTTGTGCGAACCACGGTCTCTCGTGGCCAAAACTATTGACGGCCTCGGAAAAAAAAAAAAAAGTCAGCGAGAGAGAAGCCTGACCCGACCCGAACCCGAGGCAATGATTGACATTTTAAGGCCCGACCCGACCCGGGCTCGGGCGGCCCGATCTTACCTCTAAACCTAAGGTTGTAATTCCTATGTACCATGATAAGGTGCTGCCCCAAGGTCGAATCGGCTCCAAACAAAATTCTTTCATGTCTTAATAATGTGGTGAAACTGCACCATTTATTTCATCTGACTGACAGACAGATCGGATCAGGGTTGTGTTTTTGGTTCGCAAGAGAGCTCAAATGGGTGCAAATAACCGTATGTCAATGGTACCATATATGAACTGAATAGTATCAGTAACTACTCATTTTTTGGCGGCATGTTACCTGACTCTGAAGCTGGGCAATCTTGTCGTTTGAGGCCTGCGAGTTCTGGCTAATCTTCCTCATGTCTTCAAGTTGCTCCTTCAGAGTCGACACTGCGGGGAATATGATATGTCACGTGAAATCCCAAGATATTAACCATGACATCACAACAGCACTTTTTGGGGGGTTGTCCTCACCCTCGTTCTCCAAATTGCGTCTCTTCTCTGCCTCCTGGTCGGCTTTCCTTTGCGACTCTGTAAATCTATGCTGCAGCATAATCTTATCCTTCTCAAGCAGGGACATACTCGCCTCCACACTCTTCCTCAAGTTGGCCTGTGGAAGACAAAAAGCATGATTATGGAAGGCAGGACAAATCCAAGAAGGTGAAAGTCTTTTTTTTTTTTTTTAATAGCGTGGTGATGAAATGCACGTGAAGGGGCAAAATAGCAAACTTTAACCTCCTCATCCAGTTCTTTCATGATCTTTTCAATCTTGGTGTTTGTGGTCCTGGTGAAGAGAGCAGAGAGCAGAATTCATCGTCAAATTAATCATGACTAAAGTGGCAGTTGATTAAAATTTTGATGAAACCATTGACACAACGTGCAATCAAACGGTATGAAAACATCTGATTACCAAGACGAAAATGATCACCATTGTCAGTGTTATCACAGAGTTAACAACGTAAACAAGAAATGTCACACAAACATGCTCCAAAACATTGCTGAAACGTTTATTTTACATTGCAACATAGGAACCTTTGAACTCAAATTCTATTGTATCAATTTTTCCTGATTTTCATTTTCGTTTATTTTTAAACTCATTGAAAGGCCAACTCTGAAGTAATTTCAAAAAAATCCCAAATGAAATATTTTTGTGTCACCAGTGAAGTAATTCGACAAAATACAATAAATAAAGCATGAAAATATTCTCTCTTTTGTTATTTTGACAAAGGAATCGTTTTCCCGAAGTGACACCCTTGCGAGCGACAAACTTTGAAGTGGGATGTGAATTAAAGAACAACAATGGCAGAGCTCAATCTGGAAAGTGTACAAAGCCAGTCCAAATTTGATTCAAAAAGCACTTTTTCAAACCTGAGTGGATCCATGTGTTTGAATAGTTAGAGGAAGAGGGGGTTGTGGACAATATTTATGACGGACCATGCATGTATGGGTCAGATGTTCAGAATTTGGAAAATGTTGTGCCCGAACGTCCGGACACGGAGTGGAGATGAGACCCATCAGGATGGGAATAACCGTATAGGTTATAGTTATTAGCCTAGCATTATTGTTTGCAATTCGATGCTGTGCTGTGCTGTAAATTGCGCAGGATGGGATTATCTACTTTGTTCATGTATTCTCGCTAGCACTGATAGCACACATTATAGTGTGTTGGTGTCCTACATTGTCATTGCTAAGTAGTTCTGTTGCATTGTCGGTCGCCCCGCACATTATATCGGCAGCATTGTTAGTTGCAAATCATTAAAGATGATTCCATCCATTAACTCATATGGTTTGAAGTATTTTCGTACAGGATCACATCCATGACATATAAAATATTTTGAATCAAATGTTTTTAAAAACAGCCATTTATTAATTGATTATCACACCTAGCTTTTTTGCAAATCCGGTTGAGAAAACGGAGGTATTCGAAGTGCTTATAACAAGAAGGCTCGTCGACACCTGCGTGAAATTCATCCGCACTGCGAGAACGAAACTGTATCGTTCCAATTTTGTGGTCCATTTACGTACTCTATATTCGTCTCTTTTGGCCACTCAAACAACTGTTTTCTGAACCTAACACTTATAAATATTACATAAAATATTATTGTGACATAGTATTATTACTATTATGAATTCTTTATATACACATTTTTGGCATGGTGAGTGATGTCAGAAGCTGGAGTGAGTCACGTTGCCGCAGTTAGCATGCGCTTAGTTTGTGCATCTGTACTATGCTCCTTGCGAATGTCTCCATTTTGTATTTGTGTGCGACTTTGTCCCGCTCAATGAAGGGCTGAACGTACATTTTTGACTGCGGCTCCTTTTTATTTTCACTTCATTTGAGGGACGCCTATCTCAAGCTTTCCCGTAAGCCGCAAGACCACTTTTTTTTTTTTTTTTTTTTTTTTTTTAAAAAACACAATGGGGGACCCCCCCACACCAGGC